ATATGATTTCTGATTATTCTCTTCTACCTAATACCTTTATAATTAATTCCTTTGTTGATTAACTTCAGACCAATTCAATTCTGTAGGCTTCAAATCGATACCAATTTAGGCAAAACAGATGGTACAGTTAATGATCTTTGAGACCTTAACAGACTCTCTCTATAAAGGGTTAAAGGGACTTGAAACAGCAACAACTGAATGCCCTAGGCATGAAAGTGTAAGGAGACAGAACCAGTCCTGCCTTCCAGAGAGATTAGATACAGAAAAAAGCCCATGTAGATAGGTGTAGAAGAGACACAGCCAGCTCACAAAAAGCTTGTGGTGAAAGACAGTAAATTAACCTCCCACTCTCACCACCTCTACTGCCTTGACTCTCTGCCAGTGTGTCCCACTGCCCAAACCCAAGTAAAGGCCAGTGGGCATGACAAATATTAGTGTTATTCATGTTAGTCACCCTCTAGAAATGAACCCGTTTGAAAGAGTAAAGAGTAAATTCGTAAGAGTGAATAGAAAATATCTTACGTGTTCTGACTAATCATTTGTGATGTATTTAGCTTTATTTAGTGATGTTGGGTGAAGTGAAGGTATTAAGATTGGGCTAAGTCATGATGACTTGTGCCTTTAATTGCAGCATTTTGGAGGAAGAAGCAGGTAGATCTCTGTGAGTTCAAGGGCAGCCTGGTCTGCATAGTAAGTTACCATCCAGAGCTACATAGTAAGAACCTATCTCTAAAATAGCATACAAGATAATAAGATTTACCACTGATGTATTGCTTTCACACAAACAAATATCTGTTCATCCAAGACTAGGCACTGACAAAAGACAAAGTCCAACCCCCTCCTAAAAAATGTATCACAGAGTCTTATCTTTAATATAACCTGCTATGCACCCTGATACCTCCAAACATCATGTTCAACAAGGCAATAGGACTGAACGATGCCCGGGACCCCAGGTGAGGGTTCTATGACCCTCCACACCCACTTCTACTAGAAAGTGTCAAAGCCCCATAGGCATTAACATGAACCTAACTATCACTGCACCATTTTGCTTACTCAGTGCCATGATTACGAAACTACGAGTCAAGGCTATCCCTGCATTACAATGGCTATGGGATGGTCATATTCCATCCAATAGAAAATCTATACTACAACAAGCATATTATTGATAATGTCACAATGTTCTATCATTGATCATCTAGCTAAGAGGCAGAAGGGGTTTTACAGAATAAGCAAGAGTATTTGGGATTAGGGAGTATTGCCTGAGGTTTCTAGTGCACCAACAATCCCTGTGATCTTGTGGATATGAGTAGGAGAACAGAGAAACCCCAAAATCAGATTTCTTAAAATCCACAGGACTCAAAGCAAAATAAAAATAAGTTTTAAGCCATTCTTGGCTATTCTTTACCTCTCACATTCAATCTAATAAGGCTTTGTGGATCTATCTCAAAGCACACCCTACACAGGCAAGTCTCACCCCAATTGTAGCACTATTACTACAATCATTAGTCATGCAATCACTTAAATAAAAACTAAAAAGGTACCTGACATCCGAGCCATTCACAAACTACTGCCTTGATTAGCTTTCCTAGTGCAAATCATCATTACCCAAAATCAAATTGCTCATTCATTGATTCTTAGTGATCTCCTTCATGGTAAGTCCCATGAGGGTGAGAGCTGCCTATTTGTCACACAGATGTTCTCTAGCTCAAGTACAGTGCTTGTCAAATAATAGCCATTCAATACATTTCTAAATCAGTAAGTCAGTGAATCTTAAAGCCTTCCTTAAGGTGGTACTTATTAAAAGCCACTAGAGATTAGTTAATTTGTATGTCACTGCTTAGATCATGTTTGGTGCAGGTATTTATGGGGAAAGATGTGGACAGAAAATAAATTCTTCATTCTCAGGTTTGGATTCATTTTATTGCTGATCAAAAGAAATTATTTCAACTAAGTTTCATCCATATCCACAATTGAATATTCAATATCAAGATTTTTGTCAAGTTTGGAGAAGTTAAAATAAGAATACCCTCATTGTTTTACCATTTTCTCCAACTGATTATTTGGTGATGACCATTAAAAGACAAAAATTTTGTTTGTTTCTTAAAACAAAGTCTCACTACCATGGCCCAGGCCAGCCTGGAAAGATATCATGTAACACAGGCTACTCTCAAATTCTCAGTCCTCATGTCTCTTCCACCTGAGAGCACGATTAGATGCCTTTGTCACTTTACCTGGCCTAAATACAAGAGCTTGAAACTAGAGAGATGGCTCAGCTGTTAACAGTTCTTGTTTCTCTTCCAGAGGACCCAGGTTCAGTTCGCATGTTGCACAACTCACAACTTCCTATTACTCCAGCTCCAAGGAATTAGATATCCTTTTCTGACTTCTTCTACACACACACACACACACACACACACACACACACACACAAATATTTGAACTACAAGAATTTTAAAAATTAAATTGTCTATATAATGTCAGTCATATGTCATAAGAGGAAATATATGATGTATCTGCTTTTACTACATCAAAAATTTACTAATTGCCCTAAAAGTAGTAATGAATGTGATGCTAGTAGCCCCCCCCCAA